CCTTTAGCTCAGAGGGGTAATCCGATGCCCCCCAATGCACAGATGTGTCAACCGGGCTATCTGGCCTATTCCATATATTCCTCCCAATAATTGCCTCGACTATCTCAGAGGAGGTCGCCAAAATAGGCTCATCCACCCTCACTACTTCCAACCCCCTACCCGAACTACCACTACCTTCAAAAGCCATTTTCAAAATGAAAAGTTTCAAATACTTACTGAAACTTTTGAAAAACGGAATGTCCAGCAGCCGGAAACGGTCGAGAAACAATGTGAGTCACCAAAAACTGGGATTTTTCGCCGAAATTGCTTGAAGATCGTCGAAAACCGCAAAGGTTTTGAGAGTGTATGGGGATTTCGATTTCGTAAAAGTGAAAAGCTCCAAAATTCGTCAAGTCCACCTTTTATAGAGCGTCCCAGCTCATCTATACCGTTGAATTCAAATGCAATCAATCTAGATCGTTCGTCACATCATCAATCTTGGCCATTGAAACGAAATGCCAGATTTGATATACGCTTAAGATCTAGCTGTGATCTTCACGCTCTTGCGAAACGCGTTGCCTCGATCACTGTCAACCGTCTGCAATAAGTAGCCGCAGTAGCCTTTTCTGGGAATGGGCATCGTCCCCAACTATCGCTTTGAAAATAAGCGACAGCTATCTAATCATTTAAAGTCAAACATGCCCACCTCAGATTGAGCTCTTAACACAACTTTACAAAGCTTAGACGCATCTGATGTAGAGCCCCCCTATGGGTCATCGCCTTGGAAGCTGCGTTCCCTCCTAAGCTTTACAAAGCTTTAACCATCTCCCAACGCGTCGTCCCCTATGGGTCAACGCACCGGTGGCAGATGAGCTCTTCATACAGCTTTACAAAGCTTAGACGCATTTGATGCGGAGCCCTCCTGTGGGTCATCGCCTTGAAAGTCGCATTTTCTCCTAAGCTTTACAAAGCTTTAGCCATCTCCCAACGCGTCGTCCCCTGTGGGTCAACGCACTAGTGACAGATGAGCTCTTCACACAGCTTTACAAAGTTTAGACGCATCTGATGCGGAGCCCCCCTGTGGGTCATCGCCTCGAAAGCTGTGTTTCCTCCTAAGCTTTACAAAGCTTTAGCCATCTCCCAACGTGTCGTCCCCTGTGGGTCAATGCACCGGTGGCAGATGAGCTCTTCACACAGTTTTACAAAGCTTAGACATATCTGATGCAGAACCTCCCTGTGGGTCATCGTCTTGGAAGCTGCGTTCCCTCCTAAACTTTACAAAGCTTTAGCCATCTCCCAACGCGCCGTCCCCTGTGTGTTAACGCATCGGTGGCAGATAAGCTCTTTACACAGCTTTACAAAGCTTAGACGCATATGATGCGGAGCCCCCTGTGAGTCATCGCCTCGGAAGCTTCTTTACAAAGCTCTATCTATTTCCTAACGGATCGTCCAGTTGGTAGCACATCGGCCTCGGATAAGTTCTTCCCTTACATAGTAATAAATCTTTAGCGCATCTGCGTATGGTCAACACTTCGGTGAACACAGGAATTCGACCCATAAGCCCTCACAGATCGCGGTCCCCATCCTGAGGCGGACATACCCGATCGAAAAATAAGTCCACCCATGACATAAATATTTATACTTGAACTTAGGGGGACCACTGTTACGTCCCTATCTGAACCACTTCGAAAAGTCTACCACCGCGTTATACGAGGCGTCAAACACCCAACCGGAGTGGTTCCGAAGTGACGCCACCACCACCACCACCACCACCAATACTGTTGAAGTGCGTTATCTACCGAACCAATCAAAGCGTCCCCGCACCTGAAGCCGAGGCACAATACATTTCAAGATTCTCTATCAGAAGACCCGTCGCCAATTTCAAAAAGAGATCTATGTCAAGATCCTTTCTGCCCCTAAGGTTCAATTGATTTGACGTCTCTATGAGCCTAGTTGATGTGACGTATCAACTTTATGTCAACTCAACTCGGAAGAAGCAATTGTCCGCCCACTCTATGACGCGGTTGATTGACGCCTATGAGCAGACGCTTCACAACATCAGATGCATACACGTGTCTTACATCCACCGATTCTCCTCACCTATAAATACCCAAGGTTTGACAAGAGGTAAAGGCAATGAAACTCTTACAACGTAGCTTTCCATAGCAAGCAAATATATATTCTTCTCCTCCTTATTTAGCATAACCTTGGTATTGTTACGACCACCTGAGGTTAATTTGATCGTCAGAGTGTATGCGGTCGCCACCACCCTCGTTGGTTCTGGCTGTGTGCATCTAACCTTGTGTTGACTGTGCGTAGGGAGGAATACGTGGAATAACTATCGGTTGGCCACGTGAAGGGTCCAATTTGTGAGGTCAACACTTTGCTTTCTTTTGAATTCGTCAAATCGTTGCTAGGTGACTCTAGCAGTTTGATCCACGACCAAATTTGTGAGATGGGTGGCTATGTCGGTGTGATGCTGGTGGTGGCGGCAATTTATTCTAGTGAATTGGTATTGGATGCATCAACAAATTGCACTAGGAAGAGTGTTGTTCTACAAATCAAGTACATGTAATTTAGTGCATGATGCTAAAGTTGAAGGCAGTGGTCCAGAAAATGAATTCAAATGAGCAACTGTTGACAAACACCATGTCATCACCCAATTCACCTAGAAAATGAACGAGAAGGCGAACAAGGAGGTCCATGGTCCACAAACACCATGTCATCACCGTTTGATTTCTAAACTGAATTGGGTGCTGCTACCATGTATTAGCTTAATTAATCTAGAAATCTTAATGTGGATTTGTGCAGAAACTTGCATATTTATTGGATGGTGGATTTGAGGATGTTGTGGTTGTAGTGGTTGGTCTAGACGGTGGTTCTTTGGAGGTTGCGGCGACCGTGGCTGTAGGTTGGTTTGGTTCGGTGGGATGAGAAAGAACAAGTACAAGATGTCTTCTTCCAATTCTTTTATTTTTATTTTTGATGTAATATATTTAACTGTTCATAATAGAAAAGTGTAAATTTATCATTTTGCCCCTCTATATATAATTAAAATATGGTCAAAATAATTTTTTTTAATCAACTAACAGCAAACACGCAAAAAAAAAGGGGGGATTCCATCCATTGGACTTCGTTGGAGACCGTTGTTGAGATAAATTGAAGGTTAGGATAAAGTTTGCAAAAATCGAAAAGGTTAGGGATCGTTGTTGCAATTTTTCCAATTTTTAAATCTAAGAAATCTTCAAACGAAACATAGATCAACTTCAAACATATATAAGAATATTTAGATAATGCATTGTCTAACATGGAAATATCATTTTTTTTTTTGGGGTTTGTACAACAATATATACAAAAAGTATTTATTGTTAAAAATGCGAGTATAAAAAAATTAATTAATTAATTACTTTATGTAAACTATCGATTGTGGTCATTGTTAACCTCTCCTTTTGTTCATTATTAAGTTAAAATTAACGCGGGAACATATCTTTACACATATATATAAATGAATTAAATTTTCTATTTTTGTAATGGAAAACTAACAAATTTCTGAAGTTAATATTTTTGTAACCTCTTTAATTATAAAAATCGCTTTCTATCGATTTTTAAGAAAGTGATAAATATAGTCCGAAAGTTTGAAGTGAAATTTTTAAATGTAAATTTTGTAGTCTACCAGTAATTTTTACAGATGGTTGCTGAAGTTCAGGAGAAATTTCAAATTAGTCCTTAAAATTGCTTTTAGGACCATTTAGTTACAAAAGCTAAATATCGTCACAGCTCTGTATCTTGTCAATCCTTTAAATATATTGAATCTTTATGCAAGATACAATTCATTAAAATATATACATAAAGTTCGAAGAAACACCTGGAATCTTTTTACTAATTCATCATTTGCATATTAATATTCAAATCTGATAGAATTCATATGTAAATGTATAATTGGTTGAACTCCCATTTGAGATAATATATGGAAGAAAGAGGTAAAATAATATAAATATACCAGAATTGAAAAGAAATATTTAAAAATAAATTCAATTAACTTGGTTTTGAAAATTGTAGTAAATAGACTAAATAGTAAATATATACTCATGTTTTAATATTTGTAATGACTCCAGCGATTTTGTGTAGTGCCTTGAGTTGATCACAGATTTTTGAATTTGGATCGTATAAAGATTATGAGATTTGATGAGTGTCATTATGCAAAAAACTGATCATGATTGTTCATTTAATTGTTTATGATTTGCCACTTGCATATGACACTCATCAAATATTAGAATTTAGAGTCAAGATTAGAAAATTTATGACTTAACTCAAGGCTCTATACATAATTGCTAGTCATTCAAACATTGTAACATGAAAAACAATTGTTACGATAAGCATATATTAATGACAATGATAAAGACTGCGTTTACTGTTTATTATAATTCTTGTTTGATGTCATCCATTTTGAATAATATATGTAAGAAAGAGGTAGAATGGTAAATTGAATCAATATGAAGATTGTAAGTGTTCTGTAGTTGTGTGGGGAAAAAAATGAATTGGAGATAGACCCTTGTTTGAGCCTCATTTTTTTTTTTTTGAATGAATTTTTAGAATAATAGGGTATGTAAGAAAAAAGAAATTCATTTAAAAAATAAAATGACGGTTTTGCCCATTGAGCTAGCTGGTGGAATATGTTTTTCAAGCTCAATACTATTTATGATTCATCTTAATACAAGCTTGAATGTCCCATTGATCAAATCCAATCGACAAGCAAGGCTACCCACTTGACATTTCTATATCCTCGCATTTATAGTGCGGTGTGACGTTAAAAGCTGACGCCAGAATTGCTTATCCTCCACAATACAAATCCAACTTATACACCTCTCAACAAGTTGCTTCCACTTGCCACTTTCGAAATTTCAAGGAAACATGGACATAATCATTTTCTATAATTACAAAATATTAATTTAATTCCTAGTGCATGCACCTCCTCTACATTTTTCTCTCTCATCTCCCTATATATACCCCACTCATCTTTCCCTTCCAAAATTCAGTACTTTCCTTGCTGGTTTCCGAAATTCAGGATTTTAAAAAGCTATATTTGATATTGTGCAGAAAATCATGCACAACCAAGTTTTGAGCGAGTTAACGCCGGTGAAATTTCCGGTGGAATATCAGCCGGGGTATTGCCGGAGCTCGAGCTTCAGTAATCTCATGCTGTGTTTAATGGAAACATGGGGTGACTTGCCATTAAAGGTTGATGACTCTGAAGACATGGTTATTTATGGGCTGTTGAATGACGCCGTCAACGAAGGATGGACGCCATTTAACGATGTTAAGTCAGAGCCGAGGTTTGAGGTCGAGGAGGAGATGAGCATAGCTGAAGCGAGAACGGCAAAGGTGGAGCCAGCAGTGGCACGGCCAAAAGGGAAGCATTATAGGGGTGTGAGGCAACGGCCGTGGGGGAAGTTTGCAGCGGAGATAAGGGACCCGGCTAAAAACGGCGCGAGAGTGTGGCTTGGGACATATGAGAAAGCTGAGGAAGCGGCTTTGGCTTATGATAGAGCGGCTTATAGGATGCGTGGCTCGAAGGCGTTGTTGAATTTTCCACACAAAGCCGGCTCATATGAGCCTGAACTGGTTAAAGTGACGGCCAAGCGGCGGTCACCTGAGCCCGCTTTTTCTTCAATATCATGGGCCTCGGAAAGTGGCTCACCCAAGCGGAGGAAGAAAGGAGTGCCAGCTGAGCTAGCCGAATCAGAAGTCCAGAGCAGAACCAATTTGTAATTGAACGTGGCAGAGAACTATTGGTTATCGTATAATTAAGATATGGCTTGTTTGGTTATGTGATGTGCTTAGTAAGCTGGAAATTTGAGCAATTTGTTTGTTGGCTAATACAAATGGTTCAAAAGTTATTATTTGATGGAAAAAAAAATAAAAATAAAATATATTGATGGAAAAAATAAAATAAAATAAAATAAAACAAAAAGAAAAAGACAAATAGGAGAGTAACGATGATCAACTGGACGAGGGGCTCAAACCATTTGATGGACAGTCTAGGCCAGTGGCAAATTAGGTAGGATAACAAGTAGGGGTGGGCATGGGTCGGTTCGGTTCTAAAGAGAACCGAACCAAATCAAAATTTTCGGGTATTTAGTTAATAGAACCGTTGGGTCCAATTATGGAACCGTTTGGGTTCGGTTCCGTTCGGTTCAGTTCGATTTCGTTTGGTTCTGTACTATAATTAAATTATTTAACATTTATAACAACATTATATAAATACAACTAATGACACATTCAATGGTTTTGAAATGTTAGAGACTAGTAGAGTACCTTGTTCAAATGATCATTACGGTCAAAATTTCGGTTGGCGGAGGTCACAGCTTCGATCGGAGGTCACAGCGTCAGCCGACGATTGTATAGGTTTTGGAATGTCAGCGAGACTGCGAGAGTCGAGACAACGTTATGCACTTTAGTGTTGGTGTTTAAGGTTATTTAGTGGGTTGAATTTTGTTGGGCTAAGAAATGAGATAATAAAATGGGTAATTGGGCTAAACATTAAAAAATTAGAAATGAAACAAATTATTGGGCCAAAAACTTGGATTTAGAAATTGTTAATTTGTTTAGAAAAAATTAAAATTTAAATAATTTGATTTATTCAATATAAAAAAAAATTTAGAAAGATTCGGTTCTTCGATTCTTGGTTTAGAACCGAGAACCGAACCGTACCCGTTAGTTCTCAATTTAGATACCTGTTCGAGTATTTAATTTGACAAGATCCGTCGAGTTAGATTCGATTCGATTCGATTCGAGAGATTTGCCCAACCCTACTAACAAGGCTAGTGGCACAAGCATTATGGTTAAGGGTAGCAACAATGTTAGTGGGTCAGGCTAGGTAAGAATGGCTATGGAAGAGGTGATACTTTGCTATCCTAGACTAAGCGCACGTTTGGGATAGCTTTTCAAAAGCTAAAATGAGCTTTTGTGGCCTAAAAATGCTTTTAGATCAGTTTGGCTAATTTTATTAAAGGACTTCTTCTAATTAGAAGAGCTCTGACTTCATCTAAAAACTCTTACCCAAGAAGACGAGAAATCAGTCTTCTAGTTTAAGGAGAATTTAAAATTCTATTATACCCCTTACATTTGTAAAGAACAAAATGAAATTCCAACCGTATCCTATGAAATCACAACCTTTTCAATTTTCTTCATTTCTTCTTCTCTAATCCCTTTCTTCAGGTTGTGTCTGTAGGAACTCCTCTCATCTCTTGGTAAGATTTTGCAGTTTACCTTCAATTTCTTATCATTTTATTTTGCAACAACGTTATTTGTCTATAACACATGGGTTAACTACAATAAATTCGTATCATTCCCTTCTTGATTTTTCTTTTCTAGGTTTTATTCAAGAAATGATGGGTTTAATGCGTATTTATCTGGGTTTTTTAACGTGCCTTCGATTTTTGAAGATGGGTTTGTGATTGGGTATTTCCTGTGCATCTACATGCGGCCAACTGATGTTACGGGAGAAATTTCTTTTATCGTTGACATTTCGTTTTGCCATATGCATTTCATTTTCTTCAAATTTCAGGCTTCCGAGTGCTGTTGAGTAGTTTTGTTTAATGAATGAATGCTTGTGCAGTGTATTTACATATAAAGTGGAAAGCAGATTAGTTTGTGTTGCCTTTTCATGGGGAACTTGAGCTTTGTTAAGTCAATTTAAGAACTTGAGGCTTGATATCAAATAAACACTATGAAGTTGGGAAAATCATTTTTAAATGAATGCAACTATGGATTTAACATGAAATCAGTAAAGACAGACTTCTGAGTGTGATTATTTTTGCTAATATCTAAGTAGATTTGGATTACGAACTACCAATGTCAATTTAATTTAAACTTGATTGATTAAGGAATTTTTAATCCGACAAGTTACACAAAATGTATACTATGATTATACTCTAAATACATAATTCATTTACCTGTCGGAAAGGAAATGAATGGTTATAGTATTTTTGCCATGATTGATTCAATATCTTTCATTGATTAAAACATCATATACTCATGTCCCTGTTTCTCTACATTTTCTGATTAGATCTCTGGTATATTTGCCATTTTACAAAGCAAGAATATTGAGGAACAATTATCTGTAAATAAAACATTTTTAAATGTAGATGGCAACTGAGGGGATAAAGGGAAAATCAAAAGCAATTTAGAATGCGTGAACACATGAGATTTGGGTTGATGTAGCTGTAGAACAAGTGAGGGATGGTAACAAAAATGGAACACACTTGAGCAAAGAGGGTTGGAAACTTTTTATTGAGAACTTTAACAAAGCAACATATAGAGATTATGATAGGAAACAACTAAGAAAGTGTGGCAGCTATGGGATGCATTGTTAAGAGAAGAAACTGGACTTGGTTGGGATATGGAAAGGCAAACTATAGATGCTCCAAATGAATGGTGGGTTACAAAACTACAAGTAAGTGTTTCAAGTTTCTTTATTTAATTATAATACACCCAATTATATAATATTTCTAAAATTCTAAATTATTTAACAGAAATATCCGGAAGCTGCAAAATATTGTATGAAGGGTTTAGATCATGCATTCAAATTAGATGAGATGTTTCGCGATGTCACAGCTACTGGAGCAAGTTCTTGGGCACCTGCATCTGGTTTAATGCATCCTTTATATTCACAAAATGCAACTATTACTGAAGATGATGATTCTGCTGAAAATGAACAATTTGATGGTGACCATGAGAAAATAGGGTATAGCATTCACTAAGATAAAGTGGTTGAGCCAACTAGGAAGCAACTAAGGAAGGGAAAAAATAAGCAATCAGCAAGAACAAAACTATGCAGCCAACTTGAAGAACTTCGTGAAGCTGTTAAAAATAGGAGCTCCTATATACACACCGATCCACCTAGATGTAGTGTTCAAGAGGTTATGGATAAGTTGGCTACACTTCCAGGTTGTGAACTAATGACTCCTCTTTTCAAGCTTGGATTGGGTCTATTCACAAAGAAAGCAAATAAAGAGATTTTTGTTGCTTTAAAGGAACTTAAATATCAAATTGAATGGTTGAAGGATCAACAATACCAACTTTGAAATATTTATATTAGGGTTAAAGTAATATACGTTCAAACGTTTATTTTGGCAAAATCAACTACTTTTCTTATTTGTAATCTATGTGAGACTCGTGTTATTTGAAGGTAATATGAAGTTTATGTTATTGTAAGGCACTCACATGATGAATATTTTTTGTGAAATTATATTATTTTATGAATGGTTATATGATTACAGAATGGACGACGATTCAGAGGAAGAGCTACATAAAGAATTCATAAATCAAGTTATGAGATATGAAATAGATTTTAATGAGCTTCTCCTTACTACTGTAGTTACAATTGTGCAACATCATAACACTTTTTTAGTAAAAGAACCGTAGGGATTCCTCTCGTACAGCAATGAAGTTTGTTATGGAGATTCTTAATGGAAATGATAGGCAATATCAAGAGATGTTTCGAATGAAGAAATGTATTTTGCAAATTATGTGATAGATTAAGAAGTTATGGGTTGTGTTCAGGTAAAGGAGTGCAATTAGAAGAGGCAGTATGTATGTTTTTGATGACATTGGGACATAGTGCTGGTAATAGGATGATTCAAGAAAGGTTTCAACGTTCAGGTAAAACAGTGAATAGACAATTTGGGATTGTACTAGAAAAAATTATTAATCTCGCTTTACAAGAAATTATACCACTTGATAATTATGATGAAGTTCCACTTTATATTAGATCAAATCCCAAGTATTGGCCTTATTTTAAGGTAATCTAGATAATAAATGTTGAAATATCATATTTCATTTGAAAACATTATTCTAATTATTTTTGCTTTATTTCTTCTATTTTATTTTCTTTTGATATGATTGTATTGGAGCAATTGATGGAACACATGTTCACACATCACTTTCAACGAATGAGAAAATCCCCTACATTGGTAGAAAGGGATATCCTACCTAAAACATCATGGCCATGTGTAGTTTTGACATGCTATTCACCTTTGTGTGGCCAGGGTGGGAAGGAATAGCACATGATACGCGTATATTATTGGAAGCTCTATAAAGCGTTGATCTAAAATTTTCTAAACCATTGGATGGTTTGTGAGTTTTATTTATAAATAATTTTTGTATATTTTGGTAACATCATAAGGTCTTTACTTCTATTGATATTTGAATTGATAATTTTGCAGATAAATACTATTTGGTTGATTCGAGCTATCCAACTATGAAAGTTTATTTAGCTCCATATAGGGAGATAGATACCATCTTCCTAATTTTAGGCATGGTAGTCAACCTAGAGGCTCTCGAGAAGTTTTTAATCATGCACATTTCTCACTATGAAGTGTTATTGAAAGTTGCTTTGGGGTATGGAAATCGCGATGAAGAATATTACAACATACGCCAAATTATGATTTTGATAAGCAAGTAGCTATTGTTACGACTTCAATGGCACTGCATAACTTTATAAGAAGGGAGGCTATAGTTGCTTTGAAATTTCAAAAATACAATGAGAAAGAAGATTATTTGCCTGATGATGAAGACTCAAATATAAATTCAACTGTTGATGAGGAAGAAATGAGATTTATTTGTGATAGAATTGCTAGAGAGCTTATGCTTAGATGAACATTGTTTTCTTATTGTTTCCAATCTAAAATTGTTGCATTTAAATTTAAATTTTATGTAATTAATTATTTTTGTTTTATTTTTAATGTTGCTTTCTTTATCAATTGGTGCATTATTGAACTGTCAAAATGATAATCTCTTCATACAAATTCATTAGTAGTTGACAATTGCATTTCTAGCTTCCTTTCACAGTCTACTCTATTTTTATTGCTGTAGAAGAGAATTTACATATTTTATGCCAAA